TACGATTAGCCACGAGCTTGGCGAGTAAAAATGGAACGGCGCCAACGGGTTCTTTCCTAAAGAGCCAATGGGTTCTTGAGATGAAAACCCGTTTAGGAATAATTTTTAACGGTAAACAATATTCTGCTAAGTTATAAAAATATAAAAAATATTTCTAATATTTATATCCTAATCTATATCATTTAAAACAGAATTGGAAAACTCACTCAAATCACATTTAATCAAAACATTTTACGCAATTTTGGGGTTTGTTTTTGATTTTTAACAGTGATTTCAATCATTAAAAACAACTTTTACCATGTTTCCTCATTCATATAAAATTAGTAAATTAATTTATTAAATAATTTTTAGATGTAATAGTATTCTTGTTTATCTTTTGTTACATGACTAAAATAAATAAAAAAAAAGCAGCTGGTATTCAATTATAAATTTTATTTAATTAATTTAATTATAAATACTTGGCTATTGTACTTAAGACATAGTCTTTCCATATTATCACTTTTCTATTAGTCCTTGAAATTATGTTAAAGACCTAATAGAATTCGGGAAATCCTACGAGTACATAAAAACTGTGGGAGGTGCTAATAATGGAAAATTTTAAATGAAAATAGAAATTTATTTTAATAGACTACAATAGAATAGAAATTAATTTAAATTGACTATAATTATTCTTATATTCTATGTCATTTCAGTATTATAATTTCAGTTATTACCTTAAAATACTGCAATGTAGTCATAAAATTTTTAAGTGTGAATCGCACAATTTTAAATTTTTGCATATACGAGCAAAAATATTTTGAAAGTTTAAAAAAATATACATTTTACAATTCATTTAACTGAAACTGTAAGAATCAAACGGGACTTTTGTGCATGTCTGTTTTATGCATTTAATCTATAAAATGCGGAAAAGTGAGAAAATCCATCCAACACAGAGAAATAATTCTTTCTAGTCTGTGGTAAGATTGTATCAAATTCATTTAAACTTCCATTTAAATTCGAAATGCGATCTCTCAAATCAACGAAGGAATACATTTCTTGGTTTTTAAATATCCACATTAGTAGCAACTGTATAATAGCTAAACTTACCAAAATATTTTTAGAAAACCGCCAAAATTCTAGAAATTGTTTTAAAATCTAGAAAACATTTTTGCTTGCCAATTCCATGCTGAAAAGATCAAGCATTTAACAAGGATGAGCTCAACTGTTAACAAACAACTTGTGGGGAAAATTCAATGCTAAATATAAATATGTATGCCAAATTTTCCAAAAATTCTCGAGAAATATTGTACTCTTATCATAAATATATACGGACTTATAATGTGAAGAAAACAGCGTTGATAAAAAAATGGATTAAAATTTAATTTCCCAAAATAAATTGGCCTACTAAAACTAAATAAAATAGATAAGTAAATGCAGTACAAAGTCGTAATCCGGACTCGTCAGGAATATGGCGATTCCAGATTAGGGTTTTTTCAGGATTATAGATCATGAATTTAAATCTGGTAAGATGGCATGCAGAAATTATACAATTAAAAATATAAAGGTTAATCTTTGGATTATGGTAACTTGGCGATTTTTTGGCGACCAACCCTGCTACATTAACCTGCTAGTTTTGTTTTGGATGCCATTTTGTTTTCACGAAGTAAAGGCATTTTTTTTTTTACTCAAAATTTTTTTCCAACAATCTGCTAGCCGAATTATGCTTATGCTAGAACTTTTATGGAACAAAAATGTTTATTCACGATGAAGATTAGGTGCGAAATTGGAAGAAAGTGCAGAATCTCCCACTGCTTGCCGCGTTTTTAAAAATTGCACATACATGGCATCCATGTACACATCGACCTATTTTCACTTTAAAAAAAAATCTCAGAATTGCACAAAAATCGCATTGCGCACACTCTTGACTTTATCCATATACACTGCTAAAGTCCTAGCTAGTAAGCTTTATCGCCTTACCAAAATGTCGCCAAACTACCTGTTACCATATTCCAAAGATTAGCCAATAGAAAACCATAATTTATGAAATAAAGATCAATTATGATCTAAGGGGTAACAAAATTTAAAAAAAAAAAAAGCTTAATATTTATTTGTTTACTTCATTAAACATTTCTTTCAATGTAAGTTGTTTAAGTTGCTGCTTTTTTTGTGCTAATACTTTCTCTTTAATTCTATAAACAAACATAATTTCTTGTTCAGTTACAAAGTTCCACTGTTCAAGTCCTGTGATTGCTGTGTTGCGAATACCGAATGACTTGTCAATAGAAATTTTTTCGTTTTTAATAACCTCTGTTACTTTCTTCACTATCGGAAGCACGTATGTGTAAACGCTTTACGCGCATGCATAAGTTTCTGGCTTTATGGTCCGGATTATAGATCATTCCGAATAATGGACGTCCGAATTACAGACTTTGTATTGTAGCAAAAAAAAAATTGTGTAACAAAATGAATAATGATCTTTCTTAAAATACTACCCAATAAAACATATCGAATAATTGAAAATTTACAAGATTGGAAAATAAAATTCTAAAAAGATTTCAGAAAATTTGGATGTCACATATTAAAGAAACAAGTCTACAAGCTACAAGTACAAAGAAAGAGGAGAGACAAAACTAAAGAACAAGTACTTCTTGCCATTCATTAGCGGAGAGGCAATTTTATAGCTTATCCATCACACTAAGGGCAAGCGGCTAATCTTTGGAATATGGTAATAGGTAGTTTGGCGACATTTTGGTAAGGCGATAAAGGTTACTAGCTAGGACTTTAGCAGTGTACATGGATAAAGTCAAGAGTGTGCGCATGCCATTTTTGTGCAATTCTGAGATGCTTTTTTAAGTGAAAATAGTTCAACGTGTACATGGACGATACCATGTATGTGCAATTCTTAAAAACGCGGCAAGCAGTGGGTGATTCTGCACTTTCTCCCAATTTCGCACCTAATCTTCGTCATGATTAAGCACTTTTGTTCCGTAAAGGTTCTAGCTTAAGCGTAATTCGGCTAGCAGATTGTTGGAAAAAAATGTTGAGTTAAAAAAAAAAAAAAATGCCTTTACTTCGTGAAAACAAAATGGCGTCCGAAAAAAAAAAATAGCAGGTTGCTATAGCAGGGTTGGTCGCCAAAAAATCGCCAAGTTACCATAATCCGAAGATTAACCAGGGAAGCAAACGTACTGCCCCTAGGCTGGGCCGTCTTAGAGATTTCAGAAAACGAAAGCGATTCTTTTTTGGAGGGGTTTGTTAACTGACAACATGGCCATTTTCAAAGCATTTCGTTCAGAGGGACAGGCTTATTAATGGGTTCAATTACTGTTTCTTACAATATCAAATATACAAGGTTTCTCTTTTATGCAGTGGCGGCTCGTAATAAGCACTATGGAACTGCAGCACCCCTCCAAAACACTTATTTTTAATATTTAATACAGCATGCCCTTTAGTCTTCAATTCTTTCTATACTTTTACAATACATAATTCCTTAAGCTTAATGTCAGTAGCCATCCCCCACTTTGTTAAAAAGGTACTAAAGTTTTTGTTTGAAACTGCGCGCTTCGCAGTTTCAGCGATGTGGTGTTTGGCTGTTCTGCACATGCGCTAATAACACAAAGCAGCACACGAGCTGGGTAGAGAGTAGAGCACTGTCGCTCTTGCAGTGCCGAAATTCTGGCATGTTGTTGGAAACGCGATTTCTTTTTACTCCGTACATGTGGTATTCCTCCACAAGGTTGAACTTCATCATACGAACCATAAACAGAGTTCATAAAAATTTGCAACCTTTAAGAAATTGCCTTACTGAAATTCAATCAACGTCAAAATGCAGATCAAACTATTGCAAGCAACAGGAATTTTAAAACATCTAAATGATGATAATTTCAAGTTTTGCTTAGAGCTCTTTTCTCAGACACCTCATGTTGAAATAATATACAACCAAATGCAATCCAGAGAAATTACTGTGTTTAAAGTTAATGAATATGTAACAAATTTCAAAACTGTTATTTTAGAATTAAAAAACTCAAAGTGCTGTGAGAATTTTTCAAAGACACTGATGGCAGAAGGTAAGAAAATATGTGACTTAAACTATACTCATACTATGTATACATGATGTAATTCAAAACTAATCAGTACTGTAGTGATACACAGATATTCTTCCACTAAACACTTAGCAGTTGCTAAACTGTTTAACAAGAAATGCTTCGCTAGTTTTAAGAATGGACATTCTACAGTACTGACCACTGAAGCATATCCAATGACTGACAAAGAAAAACTTGAAACTGAACTAAAAGTATTCTATTGTAGGTCTGATATCCATAAATACTGTAAATTAATTGAGCTACTGAAATTTATCTTCGAAAATAATCTAGATGATGTTCTTAATGAAATTACGAAACTGATAAAAATTCTTTTGAGAGTTTGTATCACTACATCAGAGGCAGAACACTGCTTTTACAACATTGAAAAGAATGAAAACTTTTCTAAGAAGCACTAGGAATTCAAAGAGACTAAATGCGCTTGCATTGCTTTCAATAAAGAAAAATTTCCTCACTTGTCATTCAAAGATCAAGGAGAAAATTATTGATCTTTTCGTGCAAATTAAAACAAGAAGAATGGATTTCATTTTGAAATAAATAGACAAAGATTGAACTATAACAATTTTGGTTAAAGTAATTAAGAAATGTTTAATTTTTTTTCTTGTAAGATTTTATGAAGTTTCAAAATAATTTTCTTTTTATACATGCTTGTTTCCTTTTACACAATTTTAAAACAAAGGTTAAATTTTTTTGGAACAGCACCCCCATTAATTTTAGGCACAAGGCGCCACTGCTTTTATACCTTCTTCTAAGCAGATGCATATTTAAACTATACATTCTTGCCCTGCGTGTAAATAATTTTTTACATGACCTCAGACATGACGTTTATCTACTGTGCAAAAAAGTTTGTTTGAATTTGTCTTGGGTGCAAATAATATCTTGCACTTATTAGACACATTTCACTTCACAGATACATGTGTGTTCTCTTAAATTATTCCTTTTTTTAATGACTTTTTACACATATCATATAAACGAAATTTTTCACTTATTATACACATTTCACTGCACAGATACATGCATGTTTTTAAATTATTTCTTTTTTGAATGACTTTTTACACATATATAAGTGAAATTTTTATCAATTACAATACATAGATGTAAATTTAGGTTACTCCTTTGGACTAAATGCCATGTTATATACTCCACAAATAAGATGTTCATCTCTTTGGCGAATAAGAAAATGGAGGTTTTTCTCCTGTATGTATACGCATATGTACATTTAAGCAATACCTGTCAATAAATGACTTGTTACATACTTCACACACATAAGGCTTTTCTCCTGTGTGAATACGCATATGCTTATTTAGGCTATAGTTTTGAACAAATGATTTCTTACATACTTCACACACATAAGGCTTTTCTCCTGTGTGAACACGCATATGCCTATTTACATCAGCCTGTCGAATAAATGACTTCTTACATACCTCACATAGATAATGCTTTTCTCCTGTATGAATATGCATATGCCTATTTAAGTCAGAGTTACGAATAAATGACTTTTTACATACTTCACATACATGATGCTTTTCTCCTGTATGAAAATGCATATGCTTATTTAAGTCAGAGTTATGAATAAATGATTTCTTACATACTTCACATACATGATGCTTTTCTCCTGTGTGAATAAGCATATGGTAATTTAAGCGAGTTTTTCGAACAAATGACTTGTTACATATCTCACATACATGAGGCTTTTCTCCTGTGTGAATAAGCATATGGCAATTTAAGTGAGTCTTTTGAATAAATGACTTGTTACATATCTCACATACATGAGGCCTTTCTCCTGTGTGAATAAGCAGATGCTTATTTAAATGACTCTTATGACGAAATGATATCTGACATACTTCACAGATATAAGGTTTCACTTTTGTATGAATATGCATATGATTAGTTAAGTACCACTTTCGATTAAATGACTTGTTGCATACCTCACACACATGAGGCTTTTCTCCTGTGTGAACAAGCATATGCTTCATTAATTTACCTTTTATAGAAAATGACTTATCACATACCTCACACACATGATGCTTTTCTCCTGTGTGAATAAGCAAATGCTTATTTAAATGACTCTTCTTAGGATATGATGCCTTGCATACTTCACAGATATGAGGTTTCACTTTTGTATGACTATGCATATGACTCGTTAAGTACGACTTTCGATTAAATGACTTGTTGCATACCTCACACACATGAGGCTTTTCTCCTGCGTGAACAAGCATGTGCACAGTTAAGTACCACTTTTGACTAAATGACTTGTTGCACACCTTACACATATGGTGCTTTTCTCTTGTGCGAGTAAGAATATACCTATTTAAGTTTTCCTTTTGGGTCTTGTTAGATATCTCACACATATGAGGTTTTTGTCCTGAGTGAACAAATATATGTGTATTCAAAGTACTCTTCAATGACTTAACTCTTAACTAAATGATGAATTACAAACTTCACACATAGAAAGTTTGTCACTTGTGTTAGTAAGCATATTTACGAAAGTGACCCTTTAAAAAAAAATGTCTAGTTACATACCTCCCATACACGAGGTTTTTTCGCTCTGTGAATAAAGATATGCTGATTTGAAACAGCCTTTATTCTACATGAATTTTTTCCATACCTCACATACATATGATTTCTCTCCTGTGTGAATAAGCTTGTGTACATTTAACGCACTCTTTCAAGAAAATAATTTTTTATATACAGTACATAGATGAGCTATTTTTCCTGTATGAAATGTAGCACTCATATTAAAACATCGGCTTAATCCTAGTATACGGTGCACATGAGATTTGGCGAAATTCGGGTTTAAGAGACTAATAAGCGTGCCAATTGTGGTAACCACGCCGATTTTGTACGGTCTGGAGGAGAGTGCATTTGGGAGCATTTTCGCGCATGCTCAATATATTTTAAATTGAGAA